AAGACTTTATTTCATGGCCTGATTTTAATATTCATTTGATGAAATATATGCATTGGGGCAAAAATTATCACAGAACCAAGGTACCTAGCTCTTTCTCTAGCTGCATCTTCACGAGCTTTCTCCTTTTCTTGCCTCTGCTGTTCAATTCGGGCTTCTTGCTCCTTCCTCTTCATCAGTAATTCTTCTACACGAGCCTGTCGCTCTGCTTCTAGAGCTCTCTTACGTTCCTAATGTGAGAAAAATTTTAAAATAAAATAAGAATTAAATTAAAGATATTGTTGATGCAAACTTCATATACTGAAACCAACCAGATCTCATGCTTATCACTGAATAATGTTCCTCAGAATCCAAAGAGACCAAATTTCAATGCTATGTGTGCTTCATATGTTGCTTACCAGTGTTCTACACATTTTAAGCAAATAAATACTATTTTAAGTAGATTCTATGTACCATGGAGTAGAATCAACTGATAGCTGACCCACCAGTGGGTTTTCAGAGGCAGTAAATCACATAAAAGGAAACTGTCCTTTCTCCCATGGAGCAGCTGGTGAATTTCAACCATGTCTTTGTGGTTGCAGTTTAGTTCCTCATCTCTAGGCCAACAGAGCACACTAACAAGATACTATACATATTTTGTGAGAATCTAATATGAATTTTCTGGTTAGTGAATTCTATAACCCTAGGATAGCAAATAACTATAAAAATATCTTAACATTATAGAAGAAGCTTTCAGAATGGACTTAAGTGAAGACAAACTTGTGCACATAATAGGTAAGAGACAAAATAGGTAAGAGACAAGTTAGCACTGGATCAGATTCTCTATTTTTGTTTCTTAATACCAAACAAACTATCTAGGTGTCTCCAGTCAAGTTAGGTATAGTCTCTGTGGAGTTACTTTTTTACAGGGTAAATACAATAATCAGATGATGAAAAATACTTAAAATAATAATCATTCAATAATTATTTAACATCACTATCATTTTATCATCACTATTATTTGATAGTTGAAGGTGCATGTGTGTAGCCATTGGCTTTTGAAAGATGCATGTCTTGGTTGAAAGTTGGCTGTGGACTGTTTTGGTTGGTTTTATTTTGTTCAGAACCATGTGTGAGCTGACTGGATTGAATGCATTTGGCTAGCAATGAGCTGTAGGCCACAAGCCTCTGGTTAGAGCCAGTCAGAGTCTGGTACATAGGCCTGGTGTTTTTGGTTTTGTTTTTTAATTTTGTTGGGCCCTTGGGCCTGGTGTTAACTGTGTTTGAAATGAACATTCGTCTAAGTGGTACAGCACTACTCTATCAATTTGCTGTACTGAGGTAACTTGGGATCTCTGTGACACTGAATGCTGTGCCATTGGTGTGTCAAATGTCAATTGTTACACATGGTTGATAGTGTTTAGTGGAGCTCCTAGATTAAGACAGGCTTAGAAGCAGGAGTGGTATCCACTTCCTAAACAACATGCCTCTGGAAACTCTATGAACTTAGAGAAACTACAATAGTTATAGGACAGGGTTAAGGTCTTTTGTCCGTAGGGTTGCTATGAGCCGTGCTTGACTCGATGGCACTTAACAACACCACCACCATTTTATCATCACTATCATCAAGACAAAAATACTTCATTAAAATATGGCAAATTATAATGTAAAATATTCCACCTTGGATTTATTTTTCCCTGATAATACTTTGATCATAATTTTCACCATATTGCTAGCTGTACTGATGCATTTCTTAAACCCATGCCCATTCTCTGGTAACATCTAGCACATTATTTCATATCATGTTGTAATCTATTATTTACAATAAATATAGGGATCATGTCTTATTTATCTATGAACTATTACTATTTAATGGTTGCTGAAAAATAACACACAATTAACAAGACAGTTACTTTTCTGAAATAGTCTACCTTTGTGGAAAGAGAAAAGTGTTAACATTGAAAGGAAGTCTCAAGTGGAATTATGTATAGCAACTTATTTTCTTTACATATTTAAGGATAGAAGCTAATGAATATTATTAATTATGAAAATGAAAAGTTACTTCTTGTAGAGTAAAAGCTAAACTTCGTTTAACAAGAACATTCTGTAGTTGTTATCTTGGTATTCAGATTAGAGTAAGATGCTGAACTCTAGCCGATTATCAGGGATGAAGATGGGGATACTCACACATAGCAAAAAAGTAATTAATAATTTTAAAACATGTATCTTTATTCTCATTTCCTAAAACTACCAGTGGCATAAAGATGAACTAGTATTGTGGTGTTAGGTACTGTTCAATCAATTGAAACTCATAGCATCTCTATGAACATCATATCTGAAACATGCACTGTCATGTGCCATCCTCATTATCTCCAATATATTCAAGCCCACTGTTATAGCCACTGTGTCAATGTATCTTGTTAAGGGTCTTCCTCTTCTTCATCATTCCTCTACTTTTCTGAGCATAATGGCCCTTTTCAAGGACTGGTCCTTCTTAACAACATGCCCAAAACATGTGAGACACAGTTTCACTATCCTTCCTTCTGTGGCATAAGGACTGAAGGATGATGCATCAGCAACCTGCATTATACAGGTTACACAACCTCACCTGCTAAAAGTGAAGACGTCTTGAAATATTTGCTGCAGAAGATCAAAGACTACAATCTTCAGTATGAATTTAGTCTTAACATCAAAAAGTGAAAAAAAATTCTCACTGCTGGGACAATAAGCACTATCATGATAGATAAGGAGAGAATTTGCCAATAATTTCCTCTTATTTGGATCCACAATCAACAACCTTGGTACCAGCAGTCTGGAAAACAAAAGACATACTGCTTTGGGAAGGTCTGCAGGCAGGGACTTCAGCAAGTTGCTGAAGAGTAAGGATGTCAGTTTAAAGACTAAGGTATTCCTGATGCAAGCCATCATCTTTTCAATTACTTGCTATGCATCTGAGAGTTGGAAAGTGAATAAAGATGACAGAATAATTGATGCCTTTGAATTGTATTGTTGTAGAAGAGTACTAATACTAAATATCCCACAGACAGCCAAGGGAACTAATATTAACATCCCTAATTTTTATTATAATTTATAAAACCTCTTCATGATTATCTCTTTAATTCTATATGCAGAAATCTACAATATCTATCTATGTGGAATGCCCTCCCATGGATCCTTTCTATGATTCATACACTGTTCAAAATTTAGTTAAGGTATCAATGTCTTTAAGAAGCTGTGCTTGTAACCTGCAAACAGACAGACTATCTATCATTCCACAAGGGGACTGGCCAGTCTCAATAATCTACAAAAGGATCGGCTCACCAATAAATTGCATAGCATCAAATGCAAAGATTAGATCTTGCACACCAGTGAAGAGAAAAGAGATCTCCTGCCACGACCAGTACAGAAACTTTACATCAGGAAAAAGAGCAACCATAGCTAAAATGGAGACCTGATGTGAAATGAAGTCTTGGGTTGGGGAGATGGGGTGGGGGATATGAGTCAATATTGGTAGGACTGAGAATTTAATGGACAACTACGGTCAGGCGAGAGTGATACGGCAGTATTGGGAATATTGTTGGAGAATTTGGGGGATGAGGAAGGCTGTATTGGTAGGACTGAGAACTTGGGAACAATGGCCTGGAGTCATGAATCTTGGCGCTGAGATGCCTGCTTGTTACATTTCAGGAGCTGTCTTAACTATATTCTGTTACTAATCAGGATTATAACAATTTGACTTCGGGGCAAGGTGAGAGGAGAGAAAAGGAAAAATATTTTCCTGGCTTCTCCATTATTCTCTTCATTCTCAATTTGAGCAGAATCTTCTCTTTGTGTTATGCAGAATACCTCTACTCTAGCACTTAAAATAAAATTTAAGAATTTGTTCATTTCACATGCTTGTAAGAGTAATTCATTAAATAATCATTTAATGAATTAATGACTTACAATAAAACATAATTGCATTTATATTTGGATAGTACAAAAAATATTTTCCTGCGTCAAAAATGGCAGATCCAAAAAAAGAGTTTGAGGGAAAGGTTTGTAATTAATAAAAATATATAGTCAGTCTGGAGACTAAGGTGTTCCTGATCTGGGCTATAGTCTTCGCAATTACATGCTACGCATCAGAGAGTTGGACAGTGAATAGGGATGATAGAAACAGAATTAATGCCTTTGAGCTGTGGTGCTGGAAAAGAGGGTTGAATATACCATGGACTGCTAGGAGAACAAACAGGTTTGTCCTGGAGAAGGTGAAGCCAGAATGCTCCTTGGAGTCAAGGATCTGAAGCTTCATTGGACATACTTTGGGCATGTTGCAAGGAAGGACTGGTCCTTGGAGAGGGACATCATGTTTGGCAGAGTGGAGGGATGGCGCAGGAGAGGAAGATCTTCGATGGATCGATTCTGTGAGTGGAGTGGTGGGAATGAGATCGTTTGAGATGGCTAGGTTGGCACAGGATAGAATGGCATTTAGGGCTCTTGTACATAGGGTCGCTATGAGTTGCAAGTGACTTGATGGCACATAACACCACCACCACAACAGATTTTAAACTGAAGTATGGTTTATAATATAACTATTCCCTCTATTCTAAAAATGGGAGCCAATTTAGGGTTTGTGGCAGAGAATAAAGCTGAACAATTAAGCTATCTGATGTCACTACTCAATAAATAACAGGTCTCCCTTATTAGAAGCATAAAGATGATGATCAACATCTGTAAGGTCATTAACAACTGATTTGAAACTATCATTTTTACTGGAGGAGAGGACAGTATTCTTCCCCAGCCTGATTAAAGAACAGATATAAAGCTCAACTCAGGACAATTTAGTCCTTTATTTAGTTGGGGCTAGAGATTATGGATGCAGAATAAATGCAGTATACAGATGTAAGCACTGAATAACCTTATTTGAAGCAGTGTTTATTTTCTTTGGCAATTAGAATCATGTTTCCAAACAGTGCTCTATTAAATGAAGCACTCATGGGAACAGATAGAAAAGTTTTCTTTGTTTGGATCAACAGCACCTAAGCTCAAAGCCTAGGATGCTCAATAATGACTTGCTGAGTTAAATTCTACCTGCACAGCTTCATCACGGGCTTGCTTTTCTTCCTGTCTTCTCTGACGCTCTTCCTGTAGCTCATTAAGCCTCTGCTCATATTCCTTCAGTTTTGATAAAACATCATGTCGTTTATTCTGGGCTTCAAGAGTATTTATAAATGCGATTTCATTAACCTTAAAAAGAAAAGCAAAGAAGGTGGGTTTCAAATCAAATTAATTCTAGGACACCTGACAAAAAAAGAAATTTAATAATAGTTTATATAATAATGAAGTGGTAAGTAAATGGCATTGTTGTTACGTATCATTGAGTCAGAATCAACTCATAGCTGACCTTCCAGTTGGTTTTCAGAGACTGTACACAATTTGGGACAAGACTTCCCATCTTTCTTCCATGAAACAGCTGGTGGATTTGAACCTCCTTTTTGTTGGCAGCAGAACTCCACCTCACAGAGAATCTTCCTCTCCTGCACTGTCCCTCCACCCTCCCAAGCATGACATCCCTCTCCAAGGATTGGACCTTCCTTGCAACATGTCCAAAGAATGTCAGGCGAAACTACAGAATCCTTGCCTCTAAGGAGCAGCCTGGTTTAACCCTCTCTAGGATGAACCTGTTTGATTTCTTAGGAGTCCATGGTATATTCAATACTCTTCTCCAACACCACAGCTCAAAGGTATCAATTCTTCTTCTATCCTCTCTAGTCATTGTCCAGCAATCCAATGCATAGCAAGTGATTGCAAAGACCATCGACTGTATCAGGCACACCTTAGTCTCCAGACTGACATCATTGCTCTTTGACATCAGTACTTTGGAGAGGCATCTAACAGCAGACTTTCCCATTGCAATAAGCCTTTTAATGTTCTGGCTGCTGGGGCCAAGAGTGTTGACTGTGGAGCCAAGCAAACTAAAGCTGTTAATAATCACAATCTCTTCACCATCCATCACGATGCTGCCAATTGGCTCAGTGGTGAGAATCTTTGTTTTCTTGATACTGAGCATCAACCCATACTGAAGGCTGCAGTCCTTGACCTTCTGCAGCAAGCACTTGTCCTCCTCAGTTTCAGCAAGCAGGGTTGTGTCATCTGCATAATGCAGATTGTTGATGAAATTTCCTCCAATCCTGATGCCACATTTCTCCTCATAGAGCCCACCCACCCATATAATCTGTTCTGCATGTAAGTAGAAAAGGTATGGGGATAAGATACATCTGGCGTACACCCTTCCCAATTTTGAGCCATGCAATGTTTCCTTGCTCTGTTCTGACGACTACCTCCTGATTCAATTACGGGTTTTGCATTAGTAAGATCACGTGTTCTGGCATTCCCATTCCTCTTAGAGTTAGCCACAGTTTATTGTGATCCAAGCAAAAATCTTTGCATAATCAATAAAACACAGATAGACATTCCTCTGGTATTCCCTGCTTTCAGCCAATATCCATCTAACATTAGCTACAATATCTCCAGTACCAAGACCCCTTCTAAACCCAGCCTGGACTTCTGGCAGTTCTCTGTTCATGTGCTGTTCCAGTCGTTTTGGATGATCTTCAGTAAAATCTTGTTTGCATGTGATATTAATGATATTGTTCGATAGTTTCCACACTCTGTTGGATCACCTTTCTTTGGAATGGGAACAAATATAGACCTCTTCAAGTCAGTTGGCCAAGTGGTTGTCATCCAGATTTCGTGACACATCTTGGGGAGCACATCTAGGGCAGCATCTGTTAGGTGAAGTACATCAATTGGTATACCATCAATTTCTGAAGCCTTATTTTTGCCAATTCTTTCAAAGCAGCTAGAACTTCTTCCTTCATCACCATAGGCACTTGCTCATATGTTGTTTCCTTAAATTCTTCTGTGTCTGTTAATTCCTTTTGGTATAATGACTCTGTGTATTCTTTACATCTTCTTTTAATACTTCCTTGATCATTTAATATTCTGTCCAAAGCATCCTAAGTACTGCAGCTCGAGGTTTGAATTTGTTCTTCATAAGGTCACTAAAAAATTGAAAAGTCTGTTTCATATTAATAAATGATTATCTAAGATAATGTCAGATTCTGAATTACTCTAATCACTCTCAACCAAATACTAAATGACATATTTTCTAATATCCAACAATGAACTAAAGGATTTTAAATAATTACTACTTTAATCTAAGGACTAAGACAGAGTACATATAGGGAGGAAAAATATTATTTTAATATACAATAAGATTGGATTTAAAATACTTGTTACATGCCCCAAGAGAACTATATTTCTAGTTGAATTTAAATATTTCCTAAACCTAAAACAAAATCACAAGTTATTAATAATTTTTGAGTGGTACCAGAACAACATCAACACACTAAGAAAAATACTGTAATGCAGAATGTACAATGAACATAGAACAACATGCTACAACTTGAGGAACAATTTCCCAACAACAGAAACTACTATTTATTTGAATCCTAACAGTCAGGAGGTGATGGCACTGACTGCTTTATAACATGCATAACCTTATTTAACTCTTATGGTAATGTTTTTACATGTTTTTATTGTTGTGATGTGTTTTCAAGTCAGAATAATCTCAATTTTACAGATTAACTCTTTTATAGTTGAAATATTGTTTCTACTTTAGAGATTAAATTATCTCTACTTTATCGATAAACAAATAGACTAAAATTTGTAAGATAAAATTATGCCTAAAGTCATTCTGCTGCAAGTAATAAAATCAAGTCCTGAACTGAAGTTTAACTAAATTCAGAACATATTAAAAATAGACACTTCAGTCTTCCCTGTTAGGATAAAAATTCTATTTCTTAAGAAGCAGCAACCCTTTGATATATGTGGGATGTCTGATGGTAAAAATCACCTAGAGGGCCTGTGACCAATAAAGATCCCCAGGTTCCACACCACCATTTCAGAAAAGGACCCTGCATGGGAAGAGCAGGGGCATATTTAACAATGGCTTGGATATTAAGATCAGGTAAGAACAGGAAATAAAATACTGGCGCCTTAGCCAGAGTCCTTTAGAGCAAAAGAACACATGAGATTATGTATATGTATGTGTGTGTGTATATATATATATATATATATATATATATATATATATAAATTTGTATATAGCATTATACATATCTACTAGTGACTATAAGTTAAATATGTAACTATGTCCACTTCTGGTAAGGATGTGTCATAATGAGATGTCTTATTCACTGCCACAATGAATGAAAAATAGCTTATCTACTTTGGAAAATTGTTTCTTAAAGTTTTAAACATGACCTAATCATAAGATCTTGGTAATCAAGTCCAAGAAAAATGAAGGCATATGTATAAAGACTTGTACACAAATATTCACAGTAACCTTATGTGTAATAGCAAAAAACTAGAAGTGCACAAATGCCCGTGAACATTTGAATCAATTAATAAATTACAGTAATAAATTCTCAGCAATGAAAAGAAAGGAACTCTTGATACACATGGCAGCATGCATGAATCTCTAAATAACTATGCTGAGTGACAGAAGCCAGATGATGGAATACATGCTGTGTGATTCCATTCATATGAAATCTTAGTGAACACAAGCATCTATAAGTGACAGAAAGCAGATCAGCAATTACCTAGGGACTAAGCTGGAGGAAGGAATGAATTACAAAGGGCATAAAGAAACTTTGAGGAAACAATTCAATCCTAGTAAGTTTTAAATAAATCTGTAAACTAAGTTACTATTCTGGAGCAGAATAAACAGTTAATAAGCACTAGCAGCTATTACTTCCATATAACATAACAATTAGAAAAAGCTCTTATGGTACCGAATTCAATGATTAAAGCATATAGCATGTACCTTTGCTTCTTCCTCTTGCGCTTTTTTCACAATTGCTTGTAATTGTACCTCCCGCTTAAATTCAGCATGAAGTAATTTCTCTTCCATCATCCTACGTCGTTGATCCAGTAGTTCTTCCTTCCACTTCCGAACATCCTTCTCCTACAAAATGTGAATTATCCAATTATTAATTTCATTGTACATAGTCATTTAATATAAATGCAAACTGATAAATAGTTTATAATACATAAGATATAGAAACTGAAAGCGCATTCTAAGGAAGAACAGAGGGCAAGAACTGAGAGGTAAAACTGAAGCTGAAGTGCTGACGCTTAAAATCTACCTTGATCAGTCATAGGTGTATAATGTGGGCAAGATTTTTTAGCCTCTGTTTCAGTTTCCTTATCTATAAGAAGAGAATATTTATTGTTTCTACACCACAGGATTGTTTTGAAGATTAATATGTGTAAAGCTTAAAGGAACACATCACACATACTCTATACAAGTATTTGTTCTATTCTCATTATATATATACATATATGTATATGTATATGTATGTGTACACATGTGTGTATATATACATATATATGCAATATATATATACACGTATATATATATATATTTTTTATAGTGTATACCTAAAACAAACAGTATATATGTTTTATCTTTACCAACCTTAAAGTTTCTATAACACAACCTTAACATAATTATGTAATTTTATCTTAGAGACAGGAAAATGGTGAGAAGTTTAATAAAACATCATTTGCATAAAAAAGATTCCCTGAAGGAACAAAGAGTGTTTAGCCTACAGAAGAATAAAAACAGATACGATTGATATCTTTAAATCCTTAAAACAATATCAAACAAGAGAAGTAACAGACTTGCTCTGCACTGCTGCAGGAAATCAGATATCACCAGGGAGAATAAAGTACAGAAAATCAGATGTTGGATAAACTGAGGGGGAGAAGGGAAAGGTATAACATTTTAGTTAAATTTTAGCTAAATATTCATGTGTAGAACCATCTGGAAAAGTATGCTGTAGAAATAAACAGCACTAGAATAAGAGCTAGAGGACAGTTCCTTAAAACTAGAGCTGTAACATATACATATATAAAGAATATATTTATTATTATTTAATATATTATATACATATGTATATATATATTAAAAATGATATCTATTATTGCTCTTGTGACACGGAAAACCATATGTCCCTCCTAGACTCAATTTTAATATCTGTAAAATGGGTGTCAGGTACAGTGAATAAATGACCAGCTGCTTACAGAAAAATAGATGGTTTGAAACCACCCACAAGCTCTGCAAAAGAAAGATCTGGTGTTTTACTTACATAGTTTCTAGCCTAGGATAGGCCCACAAGGGAGTCTACTCATCGAATGAGGCTCCAATGAGTCAGAAATTACTCAACCATATCTAACATCACCATCATTATCATCATCTTCCATGTAGTTGTTAGGTGTCTTCAAGTTGAGTAGTGACTTTATAAACAACAGATCTGAACTTCATCTTATCCTATGCTATCCTGACACTTCCTGAAACACTAGAGCCCATTGAGACAGTCACTGTGACAATCCATCTGGCACAATAGTCCTCTCCTTTGTCAATTGTTTGCCTTTTCAAGCAACGTGTCTCTTTCCAAGGAATAGCCCCTCCTAGCAACATGCCCAAAGTGAGGAGATATAAACAGTTTTGCCTCCAAAGAGCATTCCGGCTGCATTCTCTCCAAGGCATATCTCTTTCTTCTTTTGGCTGTTCATGGGAAGTTCAGTGTTCTTCTCCAACATCACAGCTCAAAGACATCAATTCTTCTGTCATCTTTATTGACTGTCCAGCTATCAGATGCAAAGCAAGTGATCGCAAAGACTATGCATGGCCTAAATCAGATGCCTCTTAGTCCTCAAATTGACATCACTGCTGCTCAATAATATGAAGAGGTCCTTGAGTGCAGACTTTCCCAGTAGAATTTGTCTCCTGATTTCCTGACTGCTGATACAAAGGGTGTTTGTTAATTGTGGATCCAAGTAAGATGACATTGTTTCAATCTTTTTTCCATCTATCATAATGTTGCCTCTTGGTCCAACGGCAAGTATTTTTGTTTTCTTGACATCAAGGCGCAATCCATATTGAAATCTGTATTCTTTGGTCTTCTGTAAACAAATGCTTCAAGTCCTCCTTACTTTCAGCAAGTAAGGCTGCATTATCTCCATAATGTAGGTTCCAGCTTCTCAAATAATTTGCTCAGCATACAGACTGAATAGGTAACAAGAGAAAGAATACAACCCTGATGCACTCCCATAATTTTAAACCATGTAGAACAATGATGTCAGTCTAGAGACTAAGGTGAACCTGATCCAGGCAAAAGTCTTCATAATTACTTGCTTTGTATGAAAAGGCTGAACAATAACTAGGGATGATAGAAGGAAAACTGATGCCTTTGAGATGTGGTGCTGGAGAAGAGTATCAACTAGAGTACATGACTATGAACTGCTAGGAAAACAAACAGGTTCTCCTGGAGAGAGTGAAACCAGGTTGCTCCTTGGAAACAAGGACTCTAAAGCTTCGTCTGACGTACTTTGACATGTTGCAAGGAGTGAACAGTCCTTGGAGAGGGACACCATGTTTGGGAGGGTGGAGGGATAGCGCAAGAGAAGAAAACCCTCAATGAGATGGATTGGACTCAGTGTCTGGGGTAATGGGGGTATGTGCATCAGAGACTATGAAGTTGGCTCAGGACAGAGCAGGGTTCAGAGCTACTGTACACAGAGTTGCTATGAATCTCAAGTGACTCAACAGCACATAACAACAGTATCCCCTTTTTCTGTTCACACAACTGCTTCTTTTTAAAGGTTTCACATGAATACAATTAAGTGTTCTGGGATTCTCATTCTTCTCAAAGTTAGTCATAGCTTGTTATGATTCACACAACAAATCATTTTGCATAGTCAAAAAAGCATCTTCCCTAGTATTATATTTATTATAGTAAATCAGAACAATATTAAAAAATAATCATTACACACATGAAAAATCTACCACCATTGAGTCACTGTGATCAAAGAGACCCCTCCACTAATGGTTTCCTACTGTTCCAAGTGCTTACTGTCCAGCTACCACAAATTAACCCAAGTTCCTAGGAGATCCTGAAGAAAAATTGCCAGAGCAAGCCATTCTGGGTCTCCCAGAAATAGGAGAAACTGTAAGAAAAATAAATGTTTTGTTGCTTAAAGCTGCTAAAGTCTTGAGGTTATTTAATTCATAACATAGATAACTAACATAGTGCACATCTGTATATGTCATGTGTTTAAGTGTTTAGCAAGAAACTAAAAACCAACTTATTCCTGTTGCATCAGAAATGTCTCATGGCTAACCTATTAGCAGGTTTTCAGAGGCTATAAATTGCACAGGAAGACAGACTACTCATCTTTCTCCCACAGAGGAGATGGTGGATTGGAACTGCTTGCCTTGGGGTTGGCAACACAACTCCCTACTCTTGGCTACCAGAGTTCACAACACAGAGTTCACAAGTAGCAAACCAAGTAACCATTTATGGAACACCTGTTTTATCACTATGCTACTGTTTTACATACTTATCTAATTTAACCACCACAAGTGCCATGGAAAGTTAATAAATTCTGATTTTATAGGTAACACAGTTGAAATGCAATAGTGTTAGGTTCTTGTTCAGGGCCTCAAACCTTGTTCTGTAGTCAAACAAGGATTTGCAGGAGGTCAGCCATCTCCAGAGCCTATAGTTAGCCTATAGTCTTGCTTCTCCTATACTAATTAGTAGTAATAATGGTCTCAATATTCTAACAATCTTTCCTAACAATGTAGGTCTAGCTCTACTTATTCAAGCTCAAACCTCTGAGGCTCAAACATCACCCTAGTATCATTTTGGACAAAACTCCTTCTGACTGAAAAAGACAAAAAGTAACTTTAATAATTCAGGCTAATATTGAAAAAATATCCATTTACTAATGCAGGCATAACAAACTCTTGGAGACTTTCTGAGATTCAAGAGTAAACCTCCTAGTATTTAACAGCAGAAATTATTTTCTAGAAAATGAATTCTCATATGGTTCTTTTCCACTTTTCTCAGATGAGAAGTCAAGCTGAAACTAAAACCATCAATTAAAAACTATGATAATTTCCTTAAAAAATAAACACTGAAAATATCACTGAAACATACCCTTTCCAACAGCTTCTGAAGCTTTAATGTTTTCTCTTCACGTAACTTTTCTCGGAGCTGCTGTGCTTTCATTTGTTTTTCTTCATGTTTCTTCTTAGATTCTGCAATTGTTCTATTAACACAAACAAATGAGCAGGAGACATGAATGTTTATGTGCCAAAGCCAAAAAATACTGTGTATTAGTCTTCAAAGTTCTTAAAATAAATATGAAAAGTACACAAACTAATTTTGCCTTAACATGTCAGAAAACATTGTCACTTTTCAATGGATCTGGCACTGTCCTGAAGGGTAATATGCCTTAAAAGTATGTAGCAATTCCCTTTAATCGTCAAGAGTGACTGGTTTCCCTCTTGAGAAACATTTCAAATTAATGTTCAAAAGCCAGACCTTTTTCGGGATGGAGAGGAAAGTTTTTCATGCATATGAATTCCATGTCCTGGAGGTCTAGCAGGTTCCTCCTCTACGATATCCCCCCAGGATGTGTTTTGGCGCCAAGATTCACGAGCTGTTAGGAAAAAAAGAAAACTACTGTTATTGTTTAACCACACAGTTTTATAAAAACAGCATTTTGAAAACAGACTGTGGAAAGTATATCAACATTTCCATTCCAAATAATTTATCCTACCCAGAGACTCTTTTAATAAGATCATCTATTTTGTACTCTTCTACACACAAGAGAGGTCCTGGGTAGTGTAAATGGTCAACACACAGGGCTGTTAACCAAATGGACTGGAGGTTCAAGTGACCCAACGGCACTCCAGAAAAAAGGCTTGATCATCAATTTCTAAGAAATCTGCCACTGGAAACTGTACAGAATTAAGTTCCATACACACTTTCAGGGTCACTGCAAGTCAGAATCAAGTCATTGGCAAATGGCATTTCCTACACACACAGATAAACACACACGTGCACTGTACCTTCATAATCTGCAAGGACATCATTCCAGTCCATAGACAAACCACAGAAAGTTACACTCCCACTGCCTATGCTGGCCTAAAACAGAACAAGGAAAATGGAAAAACAAATGTTTAGATATAATTCTGATCTCCGAATTCTACTCTATTTCCATTAGATTAGAATTTCAAAGCCAGAATACAGCTACATACCTCTTGTAGTCACAATGATCATCAAGCTAAAATTCTCTAGCTTACATTTTGCAAGGAAGATACACCTACTGTTAACAGCAGGAACAAATTAAGTAAATTTAAGTAATAAATATAATGATTTTATATTATTACTACATCAATAGTGACATATACTGAATACCTATTTGGAGAGGTCAAGATTATTTGTTGGACATTAGAATGTAATAGAAAAACAAGTGGAACTACAATAGTTATTTTTACTTTAACATAAGTAAACGCTCTCATCAGTGTATATTTCCTGAATACCTACTCAGAGCAAAGCAGTGTATAATTTCCTTTTGTTAATGAAGTAAAAAATTTTAATTGTCTTAAAGTTTTCCTTCTAGTTCTACAATTTAATGTCGAGTTTTCAGTTTCACTGAAAATTCACTTTTTAAAAAATTCACTTTCTTGATTCAAAAAATAAAATAACACAGATTCCAAGAGGTCAACTACATCACAGATAAAAACACTTATGTTCTTGTTGTTGTTTATCATTGAGATGGAACTGACTCATAGCGGACACTCCAGTGGGTTTTCAAAGGCAGCTAATCACATGGGAGGAGAATGCTAATCTTTCTCGCATGAAGCAGCTAGTGGATTTGAACTGTGTGCCACTGGGATTGCAGTGCAGCTTCTTGTCACTAGGCTACCAGAGCTTCCCTAAAGTATTAATGTTGTTGTTGATTGCTGTCAAGTCGAGTACTACTGATAGCAACCCTATGAACAAAACACCTGAACTCTTTCTATAGCAATCGTCGTTTCGCTAAATTCATAGAGTTTCCAGAGGCATGTTGTTTAGGAAGTGGATGCCACTACTGCGTCCAAACCTGTCTTAATCTGGGAGCTCCATCAAGGACTGTCCACCATAGTAATATTAAAAAAAGAAAAAATTTTGCTGCCCCAATCACACTAAGATTAATAATAAAAATTATTACCACATAAGACCATTTTAAAAAGAATGAGTGTAGGCAAACTTAGGAAAATTTTAACCACTCACAGTCTAAGAATTTTATTGACTATAATTTTTTGAACAATATTGTTTAAAGTTCTAAAAATTCTCACTGAAAAATCACTGTCGTTGTCAGTTTCAATGTTAATATCATTGTTTTCTTCCGCTTCAATCTCTCTAGTTAACTGTTCTTCTTCAGCAATGGCACTAGCGATGGCTTCTTCATTGGCTTTTTCCAGACGATCTGCCAACTCTTCTTTCTTAGCAAGGACTTCTGCCATAGACTATAAAGTTAAAAATAAAACAAGAATCATCTCTGAATTGAAAAGTTAAGTAATCATTTCTTTCTCCATGTTCTAATAAGCTCAACAACTTGCTGGTTATGTGAGTTAAAAATTTGTAAAATAAAATACTTATTAATATTCTATAATATGGGACAGTAATCCATAACTTACCTTTTTTTACAAGACTGCTATATATTGAGAAACTGTGAAGCTATAAAAATAACAATTTTACTAGCAACTGTCGATTTTCTCTGTGTATCTAAACTACTAATACAGATTAAATGTTCCCAAAATTAGAAAAAAATTGCTGTCACGGAAATGTGGGAATAATATGACAATGCTTTCTGCATTTGTATACATAAACATGAAAATAACATTAAAAGCTATACAAATAAGCATCAATAGAACCAGTAATTAATCACTGTGATAAGGTGAAGATGTACACCATAAACCTGAAAGCAGCTACTGAAATAACAGAACAGTGGTATGGTCAATAAGCCAACAAAGAAGACAAAGCAGAGTTACAAAATGCACTTAGTCCAAAAGATGGATAAAAAGAGAGAGAAAAAAATCATACAGTTGACTTAAAATCAACTATATCAATAATAACATTATTTAAACAGCTTAAATACTCCAATTAAAGGCTGAGGCTGTTAAAATAGACCAAAAAGCCTACAAGTCCTCGGCATAGGCTGTCTATAAAACACTAATCTAAATATACAAATACAGAAGGATTATAGGAGAAAGATATGCCACATATCATGATAACAATAACAAAATGAAAGCTGACATGGTCATACTAAAGCAAAAATATTATCAAATACAAAGAATTATTTTATTTCATAATGATTAAAAAGTCAATTCATCAGTAATAATATTATAAACATTTATCATCTTCCTCCCATGGAGTATCTATCTGTTGGCTTGAAACAGTGATCTTTCAGTTAACAGCCTGACATGACACGTACCACACCACCAGGGTTCCTAACTTAATAACAGAAGCTTCAATATAAATGAAGTAAGACTTGAGAGAACTACAAAAGGAAATAAGGCCAGTGAAAAGATAAAATAGTACAGGCACTTTAGGAACCACCCAGAAAGTCCCACCAAAAAGTTAAACATAAAATTAGCACATGATACTGGGCCAACTGGCAGCACTATGATAGATGGAGAAAAGAATGATATTGTTAACAGTTACAGTTTGCTCAGCTCTACAATCAACACTCTTGGGACCAGCAGTCAGGAAATCAAAAGATGAATTGCATTAGGTAAATCTGCTGTCAGGGACCTTTCCAGAGTACTGAGAAGCAACAATGTCAGTCTAGAGACTAAGCCTAATTCAATCCATGGTCTTCACAATTACTTGCTATGCAACAGAGCGCTGGACAATGAATAAGGATGATAGAAAAATAATTGATGCCTTCAAGTTGTCGTACTTCAGGAAAGTCTTGAATATACCATGGACCACCAAGAAAACAAACAGGTGTGTCTTAGAGAAAGTGAAACCAAGCTTCTCTTTGGTGGCTAGGAATTTTTTTTGAGTTGGGGGTTTGGTTTGGTTTGGGTTGGTTTTTTTTCTCTGTCTTACATACTTTGGCCATGTGGCCAGGAGAGACCAATCCTTGAAGAAGGGTATCTTGCTAGGAAGGGTGGAGGAAAAGGATAGGAGAGGAAGACCTTGGATGAGATGGACTGATACAGTGACTAAGACCAACGGAGTAGGAGTGTCTAAGTCAGGGAGATTGGCTCAGGACAGAGCAGACTTCAGACCTATTGTATATAGGGTTACTATGAGTTGCAGGTGATAAAATGACACATAACAACAATAACAACATCGCAAGTCTACTCCAAGGTAAATGCCAAAGAGAAATAAAAGCATATGTTCACATAAAAATTTGTACACTGAGTATTTAGAGCATTATTCATAATGGCTAAAATGTGGGTTTGAACAAGAGATCCAGGAACCAAGATGGCAGAATGAACAGCATCCTGTTCCCAAATTTTCATAGAAAATTATTTTTAAATTAGAAAAAACAGTAATTGCTCAGAAGGACTAGATAAGCTTAAAGTTTCTCCTTAGAGGGATTTCTCAGTGTAACAGGAACAGCTAAGGACCATCACATTCTGCAAAGACTGCAAAAGGTTTCCCTCCTCTAGTCCTATTCTTCTGTGTAATTTTGCAAAAATAGTTGGTAAAACTTACTAAGCTAACAAACTATCAGAGCCTTCTAAAAACAGTAACTTGAGAAAAGTAAGAAAATAAAAGGGGGAAAAAAGTCTAGAATTTGCAAACACTCCCAGTAAACTCTGTTGTTTAGTGTTGTAGATTTAACTCTGACTTAGAGCAACTTGCAGACAACAAAGTAAAACCTCATAAAATCCTGAGCAAACCCTTGAGAAGGGGAAAACCTGAGCTCAAAAATGATGTTACTGTACTATTCCAGTTATTTCCTTTTTAACAAAAATGCAACAGAAATGCAAATAAGTAAGAAAGTATGCCTTATTCAAAGAAGCAAAACAAAACAACAGAAAGTATCCTTAAGAAAAACCAAGCACTGGACCTACTAGATATAGATGTTTTTAAAAGTGTATTAAGAACTAAAGGTATGGTACAACCACTGTGGAACGTGGTGTGGCACTTTCTCAAAAAGTTGCAAATAGAGATACCATTTGACCCAGCAATTCCACTACTGGGAATATACCCCAAAGAGACCATAACTGCGACCCAAGCAGATAGGTGCACACCCACGTATATTGAGGCTCTGTTCACAATAGCAAGGCGTTGGAGACAATCTAAGTGTCCATCAACAAACGAATGGAGAGAGAAGCTGTGGTATATTCACATAATGGAATACTACGCTGCACTGAAAAACAAGGGACTCATGCAATATTATTCAAAATGGGTGACCCTGGAGGACATTACACTGAGTGAAATATCTCGGTCACACATAGACAAATACTGCATAGTGCCCCTGCTGTAAAACAGGACTGACCTTGGAGTTGGCGGGAGACTGAGAAAGATGGGTTCAATAATGTACATACTTCATTGAAACAGATAAGGGAGAAAACTGTTAAAAAGGGATATGTGATTAGGTATTTTTCTCATAACAGGACTTCAGAACAAAGGCTGAATAGTGGAGTGGACCTGGGGGGAGAAATTATAAACAATGAAAGATTTTTTTCTTTTACTTTTCAAAGAGAAGAGTGTATTGGAAGGGGGGAGGGGTGGACAGACAGAAGAGTGCAACAATGAATGTATGAGGGGAAAAAAGAACTAAAGGTAATCAAGAATATATCAGCAAAATATTAGCAAGGAGAAAGAATGTGAAATGTAAGCAAATACAAACCCTGAAACTGAAACATACAATGAATTAAATGAAACAATTCACTAGAGCAACACAGCATATTTAAGTTGATGTAAGAAAAAATATGAAAATTTGTAAATAGAAGACTTATAATGGCCCAGTCTGAGACACAGAAAGAGAAAAGAACAGAGAAAAATGAACATCATAGGAGACCAAAGAAAACTAGAGAGTGGCCAATATAGTCAATATTACTTCAGAAGGAGAAGAGAAAGATAAAGTTATAAAAAGGATAAGAAGTAAAGGCTGAAACGTTCCAAATTTGACAAAGGACATAAATGTGCACACATTTAAAAAACTCAACAAACTCCAAGCAGAGCAAACTCAAAGTGATACAGAAAAAAAAAATTATAATCAAACTGTCAAAAACCAAAGTAGAATCTTGAAAGATGTAACAGAAAAACAAAACAGTTATTTACAAAGGAGTTGTAGTAAGTTAAGTGTCAATTTCTACTCAAAAACCATAGTAGCCAGAAGTTACTGTGTTGATATATTCAAAGTGCTGAAAGGGAAAAAGGAAAAAAAAAAGCCCACCATAAAAGTGTGTTGTGTGTTTGATGTATATGCATATGTGTATATGCATATATGAAAAAAAAGTCAACCAAGAATCTAATACGCAGAAAACCTGTCCTTTGAAAGTGAATGTGAAATTAAGACATTTCTAGGTGAATAAAATATGAAGATATCTGTTATTACCAGACTTGCTCTAAAAGAATTATTAAAAAATATCTTCAGTTTGAAAGGTAAGGAGAGTGTTATGGTACTTATATGAGGGATTTTAGCTGTTAACATAAGTGATATTGTATAGCACTAAGGAACTAAATATTATGGTGCAGTCATGCAGAAATAGATGTTCTTTAATAGACAGGCAGCTTGGAATCCTACTTACAAATAGATAAGTTATATAGACATAAAGGGGAATACGTAGAAAGAGATATAAGGAAATTCAGTAAAATTACAGGCCATTTTTTCTATAGTTTATAATCATATTTGTTTGCTATGTATGTTCAGTACAAAATAAAAGGACAAAAGTTTAAATAATAATTATAAACATATGATACTGAGCAAATAATATCCCTGGTGGCTTGGTTACTAACCAAAAGGTAGGAAGTTTGAACCTACCAGCTTTCCACAGAAGCAATATATATAGTCTGTTTTTATAGTTACAGAGTTGGAAATCTTATGGGACAATTCTAGTCTGTCATATAGGGTGATTATGAAAGCACTATTTACAGCAACAGATTTGATTAGTTTGAAAAAGGTTACATAATGAATAC